AAACCCATAATTTTGGGGCTCAAATCCCACAATTTTTAAGCCAAAATCCCATAATTTCCTCTTTTTCCCCCTCACCGCCTGTTTGGTGGATTTGCCTCCGGCTTTGAGGTCGCGCAGTTTCTTCTCCTGTTTCTCAAATTGTTTCATCAGCTCTTTCTGCTTCTGCTGGTACATCTTCTTAAAAGTCACTGAAAAAAACATAAATTTGGTAATTCCGCTCACATTTCTCCATTTTCCCTTTTTATTCCCCATTTTCCCTTTTTTTTTGGTCCATTTTTCCCTTTTTTTGTCCATTTTTCTCTTTTTTTCCCCCATTTCCCCTTTTTTCCCCCATTTTTCCCTTTTTTTTTGGTCCATTTTTATCCTTTTTTTCCCCCATTTTTCCCCTTTCTTTTGCCCATTTTCCCCTTTTTTCCCCATTTTCCCCTTTTTTCCCCCCATTTCCCGTTTTCTTCCCCATTTTCCCCTTTTCTTCTCCATTTTCCCCTTTTCTTCCCCATTTTCCCCTTTTTTCCCCCCATTTTCCCCTTTTTTTAATCCATTTTCCCTTTTTTCCCCATTTTCCCTTTTTTTCTCGTTTTCCCCTTTTTTTTGTCCATTTTCCCCTTTTTTCCCATTTTCCCATTTTTTCCCCCATTTTTTCCCCTTTTTTTCCCGTTTTTCTCATTTTTTCCCATTTTTTCCCCATTTTTTTCAATTTTTTTCCCGTTTTTTCCCATTTTCCCGTTTTTTCTCCCCAAATTCCCGCTGCTCACTGTAATTCCCACGGTAATAATGCAATTTTTGGGAATCCAGGTGGACAAGACCCAATTTCCCTGTTTTTTTTCCATTTTTTTTCAATTTTTTTCCCATTTTTCCCCGTTTTTTTTATTTTTTTCCCGTTTTTTCCCATTTTCCTATTTTTTCTCCCAAATTCCCGCTCCTCACTGTAATTCCCACGGTAATAATGCAATTTTTAGGAATCCAGGTGGACAAAACCCCATTTTCCCCTGTTTTTTCCCCATGTTTCCCCATTTTTTCCCATTTTTTCCCCTTTTTTTCGATTTTTTTCCCATTTTTTCCCATTTTCTCATTTTTTCCCCCCAAATTCCCGCTCCTCACTGTAATTCCCACGGTAATAATGCAATTTTTGGGAGTCCAGGTGGACAAGACCCCATTTCCCCGTTTTTTGTCCATTTTTTTTCCCATTTTTTCCCCGTTTTTTCGTTTTTTTTCCCGTTTTTTCCCATTTTCCCGTTTTTTCTCCCCAAATTCCCGCTGCTCACTGTAATTCCCACGGTAATAATGCAATTTTTGGGAGTCCAGGTGGATGATGTCGGTGCAGACGTCGTCCAGGAACCCCTGATCGTGCGACACCACCARCAGCGTTTTCTTCCAGCTCTGCAGGTAACTGGGAAAACGGGGCAAAAAACGGGGATTTTGG